CTAAACTAAAATAACTTGATGTAAGAAAGATATTGACAGATTCAGAATTTAGAGTTAGTGATATAATTGTGACTCACTATACACATGTTTTCGAGTTCCTTTTGCATATATTATTAAGATTTGAGCAAATTGTAAGAGGCTAGAGGAAATTAAGTAAGCTAGTGAGCTATTGATGTTAAGTGTATATGGCTCTATTAAGTGGAAACAGTATTACTCCTTTCGTTTCACAAAGAATGATATAGTTTGACTTGACACGGAGTTTAAGAAAATAAAGAAGATTTTTGATCATGTGGTTCTAAATTAAAATTATGTCAAATGTACAAAATTGTCCTTTAATCTTGTAGACTTAAACATGTCACGTGAGTTGTTATCAAAAAAAGAAAAAAGTCATTCTTTTTTAAACAGATTAAAAAAAGGATCATTTTTTTTAAACGGGGAGTAGAAAAAAGGAAAACATGTCACTTATAACAATAAGGAAATTAAAGTTCCTAACTTTTAAAAAAAAATGAAAATGCCACTTTATTATATGGTGCTAATAAAGAAAAATAATAACAAGTAGCCTTCTATGAATTCTAGCAAAAAATGAAAAAAAAATACAAAAACTTATGACATAAGCAAACTTACAAGTATTAGTGACATTCTAAATTGTTTGTACATGCATACAAAATTCCAATTGAAAAACCTCCTTCTTGTTACGATTCATTGAGATTCATAAATAAAAAAATAATAAATTCAGTTGAACTCACAGAACTTATTTATTCAGGAAATGAACAAATACCGTATGTTGAATTCCGGTGAGATATATAGCAATGGAGCATTCATCTTTTCCAGGACAAATGGCTGACATAGTAATATCAGTAATGGATGGAATCACCATGAATATAGAGAAACAATGGAGAAATACTGTCATGAAGAGATGGCTTAGACCATTATTAGACAAATTTTCCATATCTCCAAAATTATTTTATTATTTTGAAATAAAGAACAAAAATAGAGAAAAAAACCCTTTGAGTATTAAAAAGAAGTTTAAATATATATGTATAAAGAAAATTAGTTTTGTATTTTTTTTGTGATTACTTTTGGATTATCTTTTTCTTTGTCTTCATGCAAAGTTAGCATGACTATAGGGAAAAGTGTTGTTTGCTGGCTCTAGCTTTATTATATAAGTTAAAATAAGGAAATAAGAGGGAGAAGAAAATGAAATATGTGTGATGACAAGAGAGTAAAATGAGGGGGAAAAAAAGAAAAATAAGGTATATATTTGCTATATTTGATAATGAGACATGAGGGGGTTGGGGGTTGAGGGTGTTTAGAGGTATTTTTAACATGGTTAGAAGTTATGATGGCAAAAATAAATAGTTTTTGAATGTTTATATGTAAAGTTTGAGGATAAAGTGAAAATAAAAAGTTATATAGGCTAGTCAAGGTGACAGAAAGGAAGTTTCGAGATTTTGATCAAGTGAAGTACATCACGGACAAGGGTGGTAAAGTGTTGGTGGTCATGAGATTTAGGATACTTTAAGAGGTATTACGATTTTGAGTATTGTAGATTTATGTATGGTAAGGAGGTTAAGGGTTGAGAGCGATCATATGATATTTGAACGGAATTTGTAAGAGCGCAAATAATAATGGACTAAGTTGTTAATGTGCGGACAGATAAAGGTACAGTATGATGATCCTTTTGTATAATAAATAAGGATGATATTCAGAATTGTAAAAATTATAGGGATATCAAACTGCTAAGTCACACTGTGAAAGTGTGGGAGAGAGTGGTGGAGCTAATAATTAAGGCCGAGGAGGGACATTTCTAGTTTAAAGAACCAATTCAGATTCATATCAGATCGTTCAAGTACTACAAGACATTTCTTTTATTAAGAGACTGGTAAATTAGTATTGAGAAAGAAAAATGATCATATTCACATCGTATTCATCAACTTAGGAAAAACTTATAACAAGATTTCGATAGGTTCCGGTGGCTTACGCGAGCAATTAAGGACAAATATGATAGAGCTAAGACCTAGTAAGAATTATATTTTTACTAATTTACCCTTTGAATTTTTTTTTAACACACTATTTATATATCTTATCCATTAATATCAACATTAACAATGAAAGGATTTTTCAAAAAATTTTAAAATATTTATATTCGCTATATAATAACAATATGAACAAATAATACGAGACAACGAAAGATTGCATAGCTTTGAATTGATGCAATAAGCAATCATTAAAAAAAATAAGAACTTACGCTTTGAAGCGTACAAGTTTTAACAATTTACAACCCACTCCACACACTTTACTCTCCAACTACTTGGGACCCTCACTTTTCATACTATTAATTAACAAAATAAATTTTATATTTTTTCTGTCTCAATTTATGTGGCGTATTTGAAATTTTGAGATTCAAATTTCTATACTTTCATCGTGAATTCGGATATGCAATTTAAAATATTTGAAAGACATAATAAATTTAATTGACTCTCGAAATTTGCCATGTAATCGTTAAATTAAGTTTTTATTCATGAATTATCAGTGAAGAAATCTTTATTATAGTAAACTCTTTACTCTTTCTTTTCAACCATCTTCAAAAGGGTTTTATGCTAAAATCTTGATATATTGTTTTTATTTTCATTAATATTTTTTATGTATCGTATTAAAGTCTGATTAATTTGGACTCGTGATGCATAGAGCCTAATTTGAAGGGAGAATATTTTCTATCAAGGATTTTTTTTATATTCAAAGTTTGAACCTCAAAATCTCTAAGTAAAGAAGGAATAATTTCATTCGCTACAGGAATAATTTCGTAGTATCACTACTGAATTTATAATATTTTCCCATTGTCTTGTTTGATGTGTTTTAGTTTAATTGTGCATGGAATTTAAAATATTAAAAAAGACTTCTAAATCTTTAAATTAAAGATATATATTCAAAATATTTTATGAATCTCGTCATGTTAAGCATGTCATGTAAGATGCTCGAATTAAAAAATTACTTCATCGATTTATAAAAAATCTTAATAGTTTAGTTAGTTGACTACCTAAACTCCTATCTTGTTGAAACGATCTGATTTCTCACATTGTAATCTCCTCCCTAGTTTATTTTTTTAAAAAAGATATTACTCTATTGGTCCATCTAAAACACCCCATGTAAGATATTTGAAAGAAAGAACCATTCACATACTGGTCCATTAGTAAAATTGAATGCAGAAAATCTTTACCCAAATTAGATAATTGATTGAATATATTTGAATTTGCCGTTTATTTTTTTTAATCGATATACATAATCGTTCATCGTCTATACACACAAAATTATGTTTTTTTTAATTGAAAAATTATTGAAATACACGTCTTGTATTTCTCTTATTTTTAATTTCCTTTTCTATTTCTAAAACCCCTTATTTCTTTAATGTATCCGAGCCAAATATTAATGTATTCGAGCCACATATTATGTATCTGTTTTATTTTATAATGTATCCGAGCTAGTTTTCAATGTATCCAAGCTACATATCATGTATCCGAGCTACATGTTACGTATCCTATTTATGTTATAATGTATCCGGGATACTCTTTAATGCATCCAATTTGTGTTACTTATTAAGAGATAAAACTATGTGATTCCTAAAATTTATCTTTTTTAATTTAAACGGTTGGATAAACGGCTATATTGATTAATTCTTGACCTTGTTGGGTTGATTTGTTGGCCCAAACTATAAGCAAGCCCAATTGTCATTTACCAGTAACATACATGAGCTAGTGGCCCATAATAAGGGAAAATTGTGAAACAAAATGAAAGTTACATATTTAGCCAATCAATTTAAATAATTATATTCGCTATTAAATATATAAAAATATATATTATTATGTAAAAAATGTATATTTCATGTATATCATACATTAACGATTAGTTTTTTGATGAACGTTTATTTATGTTAACTTCTATTTAAAGCATTGTATGGTTCATTTATTCGTATATTTTACATGCTAATTCTAGTTTCAGTTGCACTTGTAATTTGTAATTGCATATCCTTTTTGATTAATCAAGAAATAATTATATCGATATATCAATAGAATATTTTTTTCTCGAAAACACGAAGAGCGAACTCATTTCTTTAATTTTCCAAGAAAAATCCATGACACTACAATTGTACTACTATTCATTTGTGGTTAAATTCTTGTCTATAAATTACATCGCTGTACTCTGTTATCGTGATAAATACATTTCAAATTTTTTTATTACCATAACATTACATTATAATTGTTATTCATGAATAGGACTTTTTGTTTCCAAACTCAATAATTACGCCGGTGGATTAATTAATTATAAACTGATAAGACAAAAATCATGTATTATGACAATTTATGGATTTTTATGATATACAAATCTTTTTTTAGCATTGAAATTAGTGAGATATACACAACTAAATACGAAAAATTTGGAATCTTATTGGTAAACAACTCAGCCATGGCTGCTATTAGTTTGTCAACAACTACATGTGTGTAATTAATATGTGAAGCTACCACCAAATAAAATTAAATTTTATTAGGTGAATGTGAACAAGATACATTTTCGCGTGTCTGATTAATTTATATTTATGTTTATATAATTTTTTTAAAAAGTATAATTATATAATACAACTCAAATAATATTTGTGCTGAAATACAAAATTAAATATCGTAATAGTCGATGAGTTGGTTCTTATTCCTTTTTATATCAAGAACTCCCTCGAGATTTAAGAACACTAGAATTATAAGATCATTGAACATATGCAAGCTCGATTGAAGAAAGAGAACAATCCCTCGAAAAATTCCATTTAATTGAAAAGAAAGACGAGTAATAAAAAGCTACGACTGACATGAATAAATTGAATTTCAAAAATTTTCATAACAAATTACACTATCAGTATATGCGATTTAATTTAAGTCGTATTAATATATTATTAAGAAGAAATTAAACAAAAACAAGAAACTAAAAGGAAAAGAAAATAAACAATTTGAACTTATCTAATATTGCAATTGAAGAGGCTTAGGTTGGACCATAGTTCTCCTTTTCCATAAATTAATTTCCTTCCTTGGCTCCAAACATATAGTTGTTCTACTTCTACCTAATAATATTGGACCAGAAAAAGGACTAATTTCGTCGTCATCATCGTCATCATCATCGTCTGTATAATACTTACGTTCATCTTGAGGTGTAATTTGTATCGACCTCCAGTCAAAATTGGTCAACGGTTCCCTACCACTAGCGAATCGTTGCATTTGACTCAAACAAGGTGCTCTATCAGGAAGTTTACAAACAATATTCTCAGTTGTAACATCTGATTTTCGCCCTGATATCAATTTTGATTTGCCACCAAACATACTACCAAAATTAGACATCGATTTCCTTGTAATGTTTTTTCGTTGATTTTTACCAGGGCTAGTATTTTCGCTACTTCTCATAAGATTCAACGTCTTCTCTTTATTTTGCTTGATTTGCCCCATGCATGATATTTTAGGCGAACCGGGCTCGGATTTTCGACCCGAAACTTGATGGGCCGGAATTACTGGTATTATTGGGCCTGTAAATCCTTTATGGTGGTGATTTTTGTGATGATGTTCTAATCTTTTTTCTCTACTTGGACTAAAAGGTGCATGTGCATTTTGTAGTATAAAAGCAGCTGCAGCAGCTGCTTTTGGTAGTAATTTCAAGATTGTAATTTTCTTCTTTGATGACTTGCATGGTTTCTCCATGAGTACTCGTGTCACGATCTTGAATTATTATTCACGAACGAATTTGGGAAAAAATAATAGAAAGATTCGATTCTTACTTTAGATCGAGCTGATGTTGATTCAAATTCTGCTTTTGATGAACGAAAGATTTGATTCGACTCTGACTTCGTAGATCGAGTCGGCGCTGATCCAAACTGAGATTTTCAATTCTCTTTTAATTTTGTGAATGAAAAATTTGATCCTGACTTTTTAGATCGAGTCAGTGTAGATCCAAATTCAACTAGTTAATTCTCGTTGATTTTTCTGAACGAACGATTCGATTCTGACTTCGCAGATCGAGCCGGTGCAAATCCAAATTCAGCTAGCTAATTCTCTTAGATTTTCTGAACTGAAGATTCGATTCTGACTTTGTAGAAGGAGCTACTCTTTATTTAAATTGTTCAGCTAGATAGTTTCTTTTATCTCTAAGTTTGTGTATGTGATACACAAATGACATAAATATATATATGTGAAGTGGGGTTGGATATAGTTGGCTAGAAAAATAATATTATTTATATTAATATTAATAAATTAAGGTTGTTAAAAAGGGTGGGGTTATCATTATTGACCTTGTCATTAAGACTAAGGAAAAGAGTAAGAAGAAGAGGCTATAATGGAAAATAAATTAAAGAAAATAATTGTCATATTTGGTAATGATATGACAAAATTTTAATGATATATATTTTATCATCTTAAATTAAAACTTGAATTTATGATGTTGATATAATGTATATATATATATATATATATTTTCAAATCAAATGGTAGAACATGACTTTCATTACTAATTTGTTTATAATTATTTTGACTATTTGCACCATGCATGTCATTTTGTTTTTAACTAACATATATAAATATTCTAGTCAATATTGATAGTACCCCTTTTCTAAATTTACCTACCCAATCTTATTTTGATTGGTTAATGGTATTTTTTGTTTCTGCAATAATTGATTAAAAATTGAAACTTTTGGATTTATTTAGCTTATTTAACTTTTTAACTATTTGAAATGTGTATTTGTGAAATATTCATAATTTTCAAAAATTATTAATCGTTTCATTATTTGATATTAGTAGGTTTCGAATATCCTATCGAAAGTTTTATCGCAAAATATTAAGTTTCTTCTACTTGAAATAGTCGGACTAGCTATCCATGTTTTATATTAAACATATAATACTACTCTATATTTGAGGTGATATACTTCAAAAATATTCTAATTTTGACATATTTTTCTACACAAGTAAAGAGATCAAAATACTCTTTATACTAATTGAAGATTAAATAATGTACTGTCACGTTATAACTTTGAAAATCTTAGTACTTTAATTGATTGGTTATCTGAATTTCATCTTATCGATAAGAGTTTGATTGCCCATATTATAATCCGTTAACCAACTTACACACACTGTAATTACCATCCTATTAAATTGGTGAGAATTCGATTAAAAAAAAAGGGCAAATTAATGGACAAAATATTTACTACATTATAAAAAAAAACATATAATCAAAAAAGTCAAAATATATTTAGAGGACCAAGCAAAATCAATTTGACCAAAGAAATGGGACCTTGGTTATTTAATAATTAATTAATGCACATTTATGTCAAGCTTTAACTAAAAGTCCAAAATTGCATACTTCTCACTACGTAAGATTAGTAGGAAACTACGTATGAAAGTGAATTGACCAACTTTTCCATTGAATTTTATATTAGTTATCGATTCATCACATTTATACGAAGATATTTAAATCGAAAATAAAATTTGAATAATATCTTAAGAAAGACATTCAAATGTATGATCTGAAATAAGCGATTAAAGTGAATTGACCAACTTTCCCTTTGAATTTTACTATAGTTATCGATTCATCACAATTTATACGAAGATATTTAAATCGAAAATAAAATTTACATAATATCTTAAGAAAGACATTCAAATGTATGGTCTGAAATAAGCGATGAAAGCTAAATTGTTATTATTACAAAATATGAAAGAAAATACTTTTTCAAAAAAAATGGCTAAAAATGAAAGAGTATTATTAATTAGGACGGAGGGAATAAAACTTTTTTTTAAGTAATAAAATATTCATTAAAATTACGGTACTAATTGAGTAATTATTGCTAACTACTCTATTATACACAAGATATAGTCACTCAATATTGTTGACTTTATATTAGAAGTTATACTCCTAATAAAGTTTATATTGGAAGATATTTCAAAAATTATTTGAAATTACAAACAAAGTTGAGTAATATTATTAGTGGAAGAAGAAACACAATTAACATACATAATACTAGTAGATATATTTTGTCTAATGATTACAAACCCCTATATTTTACAAGTGGTAATATTTTATTAATTTAATTAAAAAAAAGTCTTCATCTCTTTTTAATCATTGGATGTTTACAGTTTACTAGTCCGACTTATTTAAATTCGCATTATATAAGTAACATATTTTCTTTTTAGGATAATATTTATCGTCATAAAAAAATTTTTAGGTGGTAATTGAATTAATTTGTTATATATACAGATATTTATTATTATCGTTTAATATAATAAAATGATAAGTATATTTTAAATATTTTATAATGTAAATGATATAATTAGGATAGGGATCAATATTTTATTTTATTTTTTAGCTAGAAGCCAAAAGAATTTGGTCACACATTGTGTTTTTGACTTTGTAAGGGATGTGTTTACCAAAGGTCAAAGTTTAAATTTTTAGTTTTTGAAATTATTGCACCTTTATATTCAATTTTCAAGTAATTTAGATGGCTTTTTTGTAGGACATTTGTATTAATTTTTTTTTAAAAATAGTATAATACAGTCAAATATAGAGAAATAATATAAATTTAACATAATACATACTCTACAATCTATGTCCTAGAAGCAAAGTGTACCTTGAATTGAACTCGATTAAAGTTGTAACTTTTGGGCCTATTTTAAGAAAAAATATGGGCTTAGTACTTGTGGCCCAATATGATCTACCTAATTTGCCAAGGAAGTCCATTAATAAAAAAAAAATTGTATATAATAACAAATTATTAATTTAAATTGAATGTTATAAACATAGTTTGATTTAGTTATATACCACAATAACTGTAGCTATTTCGCCCATCTCCTATGAATCTCGCTCGCCACTCTCATTCTCGTGGCAGTTTGCTTTTCTAACTTTTATACAAACTCAAATGTATAAAATGTGTTTGTGTTGTATAATACAAGAGAAAATTGTACATTTACACATATTTTCGTTTCCCTCTCTCAGATCTCGTTCGACACTCTCACTTTATACAAACACAAGTGTATACATTGTGTTTGTGTTTGTATAAAACGAGAGAAAATTGTATATACAAATACAAATGCATATATTTTCGTCCTATATATATATATATATATATATATATATATATATGATTATACAAATACGATCTTCCCCTGTCCAATTTTCTTCTGTCTTTCTCCCTTTCTCGCTTTATACCAACACATATTATACAATTGATCTTTTGTATATGTATACAGAAACAAAAACAGATTATACACCTGTTTTTTTATACGTATAGTGAAATATACATATTTATATTTGTTATGTAGCGCGATTATGCAAACTATAACTATAACATATAAATATGATTTTTGTTTATGCTATGTGTGAAGTTGCTCATAATAATTTACACTGATGCTTCTTCACGCTTAACGAGATACATAAATCTTACTATCTACACTTTCATATATTTTCTCTCTCTATTGTCTTTCCATTTATATGGTGACACGTTGCATCAACTTTCTTGATTAGGAAAATAACCATACTCAATTTTACTAAAATGATGTTGAATTCCCACTCATTTCTCACCAATCATTTTTAATATTGTCCTTTCTTTTTCTACAAAAACAAATAAAAAAAACTTTAAAGTCTTGACCCTATGTTTTTTGGAATATAGTTGTGAGTTTGGAATATGTAATTATCCTTCCATACATGCAACATTCAAATATATAGTAAAATTTAGAATATTACACAAATTTATGTATAAAATTTATGTTAGATAAGGTAAAAATTCTCTAAACTTTTACCATAAAGACCATTTCGAAATATAGAGAGTATGTAGAAAAAACTTAATTTTGTATTTCATTTAATCATATACCTAGATTCTTCTAAATTTTGGAACAATTAACTTGGGCCCATGTTAACAGCCTGGTCTAGTTTTTAAGCCCAAAACCAGCCAAATAAACCAAGTCCACAACTAATATTGCAATGTCATTTTAGGGCATTATTGTTTTTCTTTCTCGTGTTTAATACTTAATATTAAAGTTGGACTAGTTCGAATTCGCGCTAGATAGGGCTTATTCGGATACTGTGGCTCAAATTAAGAATTTTTTTTTATATCTAAAGCTCGAAACCGACATCTCTAGATAAGAAAGAGCAGCTGCATCTCCCGCACCACATTTTACGGGTATAGGGTTGTGTAATATTTGTGAAATTTCATTACATTTCTAGAACATTCAAATGGATAAATTACAAAAAATAACATTTTTTTGACATACACGTGTAAGCCTTTTTAGTGGATGGAATTATGGATGCTCTTTATATTAGGTGACTATGATTGGACAATGGTTTTGGCTTTTTAACTTCTATTTTATTTAATTCTACGTAGTCAAATCACCTAAAGCCATGATATTTCATTAAATTTAAAGGCCAAAATGAAATGAAATGAATTGACCTTTAAATTCATATGATTAATCTTTTAACTTGTTTGAGATCGTGTCGTAGTTCCAATAATATATATCGTTGTTGATATGGCCTTCTATCATAACAAGTAAAAGATATATACAAGTAATTGTATTGTTTGAATTAGTAATTTGAAAAATAAGACGAGTAATAATATATAACAGATAGAGTAGTATATTATTTTTATATATTTGACTAACAAATATAATTATTTTAACGGATTGAACAAAGGTGGAAAAGTCATATCAACAATGAGAATATGTAA